TAAATCTTTGGTAGACCATGGCATAGCGTTGTGACGCATTGCCGTGCGTTATGATAAGCTGTGTTGCGATTAAATGTACGCCTGTAAGATTTTATCAGAAACTTGCTTACAGTTTTTCGTTACTTCATTTTTTTTTTTTTACTATTTTGCAAAAAGGCGCAATTTAAAATGTACAAATATTTATTTATTAACTCTTAATACTGTTTCATCTTTCAGATTTTGTCGGAAAAGTATTTTTTGTGTGCACCGATACTGATTTTAGTGTGCTTTTATCAATTTGTGTATTTTTATTGGTTTATTTTGATTTGACAAACATTTGCACAATTATCGCAGGACCTACAAAATTAGTAGCACAATCTTTTATTCCAACGGGCCTGTGCTTTCAGAAAATATATGGTTTGGGGAGTGGGGTCTTTTAAAAAAACCGCTAGCAATGCAGCAGTAGAAAGTCAAAACAATGGGAAAAATTGCAAAAATGGTGTGGCCAGCTGAAGCTAAAATCGTTTTTGGAGGGCTTGGCAGCGAAAGGTTTAAACAAGAAAATAGTTTTTCTTTTAGTGCATAAGACTTACCGACTTCTGCTTCTACTCCTGCTTCTATGACGATGTTTGGATCTGGATCCTGAGCGTGAACGGGGTCGTCGCTTCCTTTCTCTGCTCTTTGAGCGGGATTTTTTCTTGTCACGACTCCTACTACAATGCCGTCTGGAATAGGACATGTTCAGAAACAAGAGGATAACAATGGCAGCATAAGTATTGTTTCAATATAGTCTATCCTTAACATCCACACAACATAAGCATAGAAAATAAAAAGCGGTAAAATAGGGCATAAAATCTAACTAGGCTGATGTTGATACATTTACCAATGTTAAGTACAAACAGCTATTACTGGCATGACAGGACACGACCAATTTCCTTGCTGCTTTACATTATTATTTGATTGGAAAGAGCAAGCTGGACACCACAACTGTAATGTGGGACATTTCTAAACAATAGGATGGACTGCCAAAAGAATACATATTTAATTTTACCTTTCACGTGATCGTGACCTGGAATAGCTTCTGCCTCGAGAAGGCCTCCGATCCTTGCGACGATGTCTTTCTTCTCCATTTTCGGATGAATTTATTCGCTCCCTGACCCTGTCTGAATGATCTCTGTCAATGATGTCGTCGGAACGGTGTTTCTTTGAAGATTTCTCTTTGGACCCATGTCTTCGACCCTGTTTTAAGAAGAAGTTTGTTCTTTCAGGAAAATAGTGCAACAAAGAGAGTTAGTATAAGTGTCAAACGAGTGACATAGGCTGTGAAGTAACTTTTGTAACCTTAGTGACAAAAATTAAACCTTAAACCATGCCTTCAGCTTTGGCTTTGTATGTCAATTAATAAAAGTAGCCAGTGCTGAGAAAACTGCAGGGTGTTTTTAGGAAAACTGGAACTACCATATGCTTAGAACTGACTTCTGCAAAAACCAAAATTTTGATTTGGAGTACCGTCTGCTTTTGAAATGTAGTAATGTGGCATAACCTCAAGGTGAATTGGTCAGGATTGCAGTGTGGAAGTTGTCACTACTGAGTGACAAACAGTTCTCTGAGAATGTATCCATTTCTCTAGACCAGTTTACGTAAGAGGGGGACAGATGTTCTGCTGTATGTTTATTTCAGAATATAGACCATTGAAATTTTCATGCTAAATCTACCTTTTAATCCAAATACAGCAAAAATAACTATTCTTTCTTTTGATTTGAATGTGTATCCAATAATATAGAAGTAATATATTCTTCCATTTTCACACTCAATGTATTGTTTTTAGATATATAAATTTGACAATGCTAAAAATACCAGGCTAATATTAGATCACTTAACCGATCTCAGCAAGTAATATGAAAGCACATGCATCAGATCTGGTCATAAAATCTGATTCAACCATGTTATATAGTTGCACCACTTTCACAGACCCAAAGATAGCACTTGAACATTAACCAAAATAGAATCAAACCCACTAATACCTACTAATCTGTGAATGGGCCAACAGATGGGAAAACACTTTCAACTGAAGTCCAGGAAAACAGTGATACTTGCCAAACCAAAGTTCAAGTCCTATGTATTGATAAAAGATGCATTTCTTTAATGAGACACTGTTACCTTGTCCATGCAGGGCAAAGTGACAGTGTTTCTGCAAAGGCCCCCCCTAACCCACACATAGCCACTTTTCCCAACGCTCCCCCTCCTTGCAGCCATCTACAACACACAGCACTTTTAGGTATGGTGTACCATGTCATCTCGTCCCCCTAGGACAGGGGTCAGCAACCTTAAACACTCAAAGAGCCATTTGGATCCGTTTCCCACAGAAAAGAAAACACCGGGAGCCACAAAATCCTTTTGACATCTAAAATGAAGATAACACTGCATATATCGTTTTTTTACCTTTATGCTATGTATAGCATGTAAATGTGGGCTCAGTAACGCACTGGACTCACCCGAGATCCTGCAGCGCACCACCATAGATCCTGCACAGCTCATCTGAGACTCTCGATGGTGGGCTCTGCAGGGCCTCAGGTGGGCTGGTCGCCGGGGTCCCTTTCCCTGTACTTCCTTCCAACTCCTCTTACCAGCTGCTGCTGCCTGGCCTCCTCCACCCCCTCCCCTGTCACCTCTGCCATGCTGCCCCTGGTACAGCTGATACTCATGTAAGAGGCCCCCCAGACTTCTCACATGGGTACTGGCCGGATGGCGGTGTTCTATCAAAGTTTGTGATTACTTTACAAAGCGTGACCGGTGGCATGGTCACACATGTCACTGTAATCCCGCCCAGTTTTTTGCGGTGGAATGTGTGACCACCAATAGGCAAGCATCCCAACGATGAATACATACATATTTCTGTGTATATTTTCGAAATGTGTAAATGTATTTAATGGGAATAATAATAAAAATATATTAAACAAAAAAAAAGCATCCCAACGTTTTCTCAGCTGTTCCAGGAGAATCGATCTGCCCTGGAACAGCTGATCGGTCCTGAAATGCCACTTCTATCCGACTCTGAGTGGCATCTCACATTCCACCCCACTCAAGTCGGATAGAAGTGACATTTCAGGACCGAACAGCAGTTCCAGGACAGATCAGTTCTGCGCATATTCCACCAAGGTGGGGGGGGGTGCCCAGGACCGGACCTCACCGGGCCCCCTCACAGCCTCAGGCCCCAGCAGTAGTTCCGCCCCTGGACAGGGAGCCACAGCAGAGGGATAAAAGAGGCACATGCGGCTCTGGAGCCGTGGGTTGCCGACCCCTGCCCTAGGACAAGTGCTCAGATCTAGCAGCCAACTGCCAGGCCCAAGCACTGTCACGTGACTAGGCTTTTGGGTTGTCAACATCAGTCAATTAAGTGCAGACTGTGCATAAAAAAGCAGTGGCATGGGAAGACAGAGGGGTTTGGCCCTTTCAAGAGACCCTTTCACTTTGCCTGCATGGGCAAGGTCACAGTATCTCAAAGCAAAAATACACTGGGACAGAAATGGAGGTTTCAACCTTGGAACTCTGCTTTTGAAAACTCAAATTGCCTGGTTGTCATGCCGATTTAATATCTTCAATATTTCTTAAGTCCCTGAAGTCAGAGGATCAGTATGACTGCAAGACATTTAACATACTTAAAAAAGGAGGTTAGTGATAGCAGGTACTGTATCTCTCAGCACAGCTGCCACTAACAGATTACCCATCAGAGATTCAGAGGACAGTGTAGGGTACAAGGGCTCACATCTTTGTTCTTAATTGATATGCATTGATACACTTCAAGCAAATCCTGTCATGACAAAAATGCAAGCTGTCATTGCCATCCTCTCTTTTCAAAATGCTAACGGCCAAGCTTCCATACCGGCCCATTCACAAGCACAGAATACATATGAAGATAAGGTGTTCTGACTTTACTGTAGCTTTGAAAATCTGCATAGTATAGGAGCTAGAGGGCCAGCATTACAGCCAGGCAACAAGCACTTTTAGACCAAACTGTTTCCCCCTATCAGCCGGTGGACTAAGCAATTTTCAATCCAGTCCACAAACCTTCCCTGTGAAAAGTAACTCTGCTTGGTTATTTATTCTTTGCAGCCGTTGTGTGGCCAACCACCCTGCACTCTGGCTGTCCCTCCTGTTAAAAGCTCTGTCTGCTGATTCACACAAGAAACTGGGTAGTACTATTGCATATTGCTCCATCCAAAAAGAGAACCACCATGCAGACTCGCATGATTATTTAGCTACAAGGGCAGCTAAGACAAGAAGTCCAAGAAATGGTATAACGTGACAGCAGGAGTAGTTAGTCTGTTTGTAATACACATTTTGCAGTGGCTGCACTGCATTAAGTGACGCAAACGTTGAGGACGTACCAAGCTATACTTCACGTTGTTGTTGTTGTTCTTCACATTTTTCTAAGTCTATAGGCTGTGCTTTGGGAGAGCCTGGAGTTTAGCTCTTCAATTCATAATGAAGGAAGGAAACTCTTTATATTTTACCTATACAAAAACTAATATAATTGTGAATTAGCATCTTGCCCAACCTACAGAATTGTTTGGAGATCCCTCCACTAACAGGCTACAAAAGAAATGTTGAGGGAAAGAGGAGCGTTAATATCAATAGTTACAATGGAAATGTTTTAAAAATGTACAAAGTATGTTAGTAGTATTTTTTCTACTGGATAACATTAACTGAGAGATATATGTTTTTAATACATTTTAGACATGCACGGTGCTTTCAGTTAAGAGTTTGCAAAGCCAAAATCTATTAGGGCACAATTCATACTTCAAATTCCAACCACTGATAGGATAACAATAGTCTCATCAAATACATTTTTGTCTGATGAAAAGCACCCGTACATGGCACCAGTTGAAAGAAAGGCAAGGGCCCCTGACTACTGGTAGAAAACCAAAAGGATAAATAGAAGAACTGGTGTGCCCGGTAACACACGAAATTAACAGTTTTGGTGGTTTCATTAATGTTTTCTCAAGCATCCATTACACAAAGCATGGCCACCCAAAAAAGTTTGTTCTAGTTCTGGTTTCCAACATGGTCCTGACATAGCTCTGCTCTACAGCAATTTAGCAGTGTTATATGTCCGTTCTGCCTAGGGGAAATCTAGCTGGATGAGCCGTGTATTATTGAATGACACCTGTCAGACACATTGCTAAAAAAAAAAAAAAAATAGATTTTACTTTTAACATAAAAGACTTACTGTAAAATAATATCCTTAAACAATTTACTCAAATTATTGTACAAGTCAAATAGGAGGTTGAATGACTGATAGTTACCTTATCATGAAGTAGACTTATTTTTTTGTTATGAGTCAGCAGCGTCTTCAGTTCAGTCTCTTCGTGCTTTAGCACGCTGAGTATGATTTATTACAGAAAAGTTATCATGTGGTCTAGGCACAATAATAAATTTTTATATCAATGCTTCCTATCACATGTGATAACCAAATATGGTTAGAATACTATTCCAGCTTGCAGTATCACCAGTGCAATACTCCTCAGCAACAAGTTTTACAGATACAGGTGAGCATTACAAATGGGTAGGAAGATACTAAATATGCAATACCTTGCACCATAAATATTATTTAAATACTTAAATGAAGTCAGTCCATGGGTTCTGCTGTTTAGCTGCGTTATGCTTTAACAGCAAAGTTTAAAATGAATTGAGATACTGCTGAAGCTGTAATAAATGCAATTACATAGAATATGACAAAATAAAGTGCACCATACACAATGATATGGTGTAAATACTTTAGTACTACTTACCATGGAGTAAAATATCCCCAATATAAACAAAGACATATAATTAGTCAATGTACACTACAAAGTATTAATTACCTCTTTGCTCCTGCTTCGACTCCGGTGTTTCTTCCCTTCATAATCTGTGAAATTGTAAAGCCATACAGTAAGTTGTAAGCACTTCAATTATAAAAAGTAGAAGTAGAAAAAAAGCGAGACCCAACTTACCAGCCTTCCGTTTATGTTCTCTTGAACGTGAACGGGATCTTGAACATGGTCTGTAAGCTGTGGGGGACTTTGATGGATCACATTCTTCCATGAGTTTGTCTAACGTAGGCGAACAGCTATCCGGGGAGCCTCCATCTCGATCTGTATCACTTGACTGAAAAATATATACATATTAGTGGCTGGAATGAAAATGATGAACCTCATCACAGGCTCATTTATATAGGCAAACTAAACCAGCTCTGAAAGTAAGCAAGCTGCCACCGCTGACCTTCAAAAAAGCTTACTGACCATTGGTTTCAATACTGTCACCGACACAGAACATGTAGATCAAGTAAGTCAGGAGGCTATTTGCATACTAGTTCCAGGGTCAGTGACAAAGAATTAAAGTAATATTAAACTCAAAAGGTTTTTTAAGCTATTTGAAATGCTGATTAAATCAATAAGAATGAATGCTGCTTCTTAATGTTCAAAAGTTTGTTTCCTGTAGAATCAGCTGGTCTCCTGAGCCCTGACCTGGACATCCTGTTTTAGGGTGGCTCTTTTCCCTTGTATACACCACGGTCTGCTACACACCTATAATAAGCAAATGGAGCAGTTTGAGCATCATAGCCCTAATGAAGGAACCGTAAAGAAAAACTCCGGGCATAATTATTCTCAACCCTTGCAGTGGGGTAAAGTGCTCGTTCTTATCTAGGGATGAAGATTAAAAACAAAAAAAAAAAAAGAAGAGTTTTACTCACCTGAACTTCATAGCCGGCTGCTGTTAGACACTGACCACCTTCCACTCTAAGGTTCTGTGAGTCAACATGAGACACAGGAGCGGAAGAGGAGAGAGGCAACAGGGACCAGTCTAACAGCCAGCTGGCTCCAAGATTCAGGTGAGTATATCGGTTAACGTCCACGGACCAAAAACCAGCACTTAACCTTTGAAATGCAGGGGTAGCTCCACTGCAAGGGTTAAGAATAATTATGCCTGTAGGAGTTCTTTAACCCCTTCGTGACGGGAGACGTACACTGTACGTCCAGCCACAAAGGGACCAAATGACTTGTCACGTACACTGTACGTGACGAGTTATTTGCTGCTTACCGCTGAGAATCAGCTTTTAACATTCATTAATGGATGCCCTTACTACAGAGGCATTCATTAATGAAAGGGTTAACCTTTTTCAGACACCCGATACCTTAATATCGGGTGTCCGAGAGTCACAGCAGAGGGACACACATGCCGGCTTTTTTGCTCATATATAAATACAATTTTTAAGTTTAAAAAAAAAAGTGAAAAGTGTAAAAAAAAAAAGTGTAAAAAAAAATAACATAAGGGACAAATAAATAAATGTATTTATTGCATTTTTTTAGCTGTGCTGGTTTTGTAAAAAAAATACTACAAATCAAAACTGGGGAAAAAGTGTTTTTTTCCTCTTTTTTTTATATTTTATTTGTCCTAAGTGAGGCGTTAGACACACATATGTGATATAAATATGTAGCCCTATCTGTCCTCTAAAAAACAATATATAAATATGTGCGAGTGTACTATGTAAGAAAGTATATTACTGACGTGGAAGAATCACACAGCAAAAATGTCAAAAGTGTGTCAGTCATTTACGAACAGAAACTAAAAACAAGCTCAGTCATGAAGGGGTTAAACTGGGTTTACTTAGACAGCAAGTGTCTATTCACACCTAGATTTTAGGTGCGATTAGGGATTCCTGTGTTAGGAACTTGCAATTTCCTGTAGCAAGAATCTCTAATGTGCTGTTTAAAAGCGGCAGCTGTCACCCATTCAAGTTGATTGGGCGTCAGCCCACAAAAGAAGCATTACTTCTCCCCACGGCTCAGGAAAGGAATGAGCTGGGTGCTTTCCGCTGGGAGCACGTCCTCTCTCTAATATGAGCCCATACAACACAGAAGAAAAGCTGGCTGCACACCGGATTCCACTGGGATAGTTTATTGAAGGTTGTACCACATCACAGGTGTCCCGCCCAAGGTCCACCCCCTTTAACGCATTTCACCCAATCACGAGCTTAGTCAGAGATGGGATTCACCACTAAGCCCATGATTGAGTGAAATGTGTCAGTGGGGGTGGACCTTGGGCAAAAAAACAGTGATGTGGTACAACCTTCAATAAACTATCCCAGCGGAATCCAGTGTGAGGACAGCTTTTCTTGCTTGTATAGGCTCATATTGGAGAAAGGACATGCATTGATCATCACAGTCTCATTATCACAGGTCGGCTAGAACTATGAGGTGAGTGAAAAGCACTCACCTCATAGTTCTCCTTTAATTCTTGTTCTATTAGGGAGCTGTCATATATCCTAGTTGCTCTGGGATGTTATGAGTTTCTTATTATTTTTCTAATAAATTGATGTGTCTAATATAAATGTATTTGTGGCTCTTGCATCCCTGATTTTACACTTTAAAAGCCCCATATTTGGGATTTTTGCTATTTGCTACATGTTCCCACTCATATTGCAGAGCTTAAAAAAGTGAAAGTAGAGGGTCAAACTGGGGGACAGACTGAGCTTCTCATTAACATGCAGTTTCTTTAACCCTTTCTTAGGAAAATGTAGCTATTTGCTACATGTTCTCACTCATATTGCAGAGCTTTAAAAAAAAAAAAAAATCTGCTACTTATTTTCAAGTGTTTTTTTTTTTTTACATGTGTAAAAATAGTACCTAGTTCCCCCCATGTAATATTAAGGAGGGAGCTGGTAGGTCTGTACTGTGCTGGCAGATTTTACTGGTTGTGAACTAAATGTTCCTAAAGGTGGCCATACACTCTACAACCATCACCTTAGTCTTGCGATGGTTGTACAGGGATTTAAAAAAAAAACTGAGTTAGGTACCTGGTAACTCGGTTTCCAGGAATCTTCCAGGACAGCATCTGAGAGATAGTCTCCTCCCACCTAAAACAGGAAACACATCACATACACCAAATAAAAGGGCACTTGCCCCCAGCATACCTCAGTAATAAAATAGAACCGAAGGATACTTATAAGCTTAGTGTTCCTAGTCGGAGGCGGCCGCTGGTGGCTTGTGGCCTTTAAGAACCTCTTGATCAGGGGTTCCTCAGCCAACCTCGTCTCCAGGTACACTGACAGTGCCGATGTCTGCACTTTAAGCGTACTACATGATAAGCTCATGTCCGCCCCCCTCTGTAAAAATTCTAACACTGCCACAACAACAGGCTTATTGCTCATACCGTTAACGAGTCGCTTTGAGCAGCTCGTTAGTGTCTGACGCTGGGAAGAGAAATCTGGAAGCCCTGACCTCTCCTTCCTCCGCTGATTCGTCCTCCTCGGAATTGGAGGAAGAATCCCCGGATTTTGCGGTGTCCCGACTGGTACCGCTCTCTGAGTACATGCGGGTTTGAATCCCAGAAGGCCCAGGCAGGGCAGGATCTGGCCCAGAAGGCCCTGATCTGACCCAGAAGGCCCAGCCTGAATGCCGGAGCGCAGCGATTGAAAAGTCGCCACCAACTCCTGCTTCATACTGTCCAGTAAGCCTTTGAAATTTCCCCCAGATTCCTCTGCCACCAGCTTCTCTAAGCATGGCTGGCATAGTGGCTTTTTATGCGAGGATGCCAATTTGTCACTACATGTGGCACACTTTCTGTACTTGGGACGCGAGCCTGAGGGCATGGCTGTGGGCTTTTCTTCAGGGCTCTTGGCCTGAAACAACATAAAAAAAAAAATTCTCGTACGAGAATCGAGCAGTGTATGGGCACCTTAAGAAAGGGTTGAAGAAACTGTACATGTTAATGAGAAGCTCAGTCTGTTCCTCAGTTTGACCTTCTACTTTCATTGCTCAATGCAGCTTGGAATCTGAGCACACACACCAAATTCACACAGTCCTTATTAGCTCCTGTTCTGATCAGTGACAGCTAATAATTTGTTTTTGTCTTTAACACACATTATGAATACACGTTTATCAATATTCTACATTTTATCAAATAATTATATTATAAGAATTAAATTTCTCCAGACAATAGGAATTAGAAAATGTATGTTAAAGGACAAATTTTACTAGTAGTTTAATTTCTATTTTTGACTAATTGTGCCAGTTCTGTCAGTTTCACAGAGGTTTCTGTGCCATGTATGTGGATCTGGGGCTATTTACTTTACTTGTCAGATATAAGAAACTGTTCTTGCTAAAACTTATCAGTCCATGTGAATTCCAAAGTGTGTGGTTTTTTTTTCTTGGAGTGAAAGAGGGTTATTAGGGAAAAAGGAAATGACAGTTTTACAGATATCAATTGTTACTATTTTGGTAACTACTAATTAGCTACAGAGAATGAAAAAAAAAAATGCTTTAGAGCAAATTTACACCAATTGCGGTGCGTTCCAGAACGGCAGCTGCTGAAACGCACAGCAATCACTGACAAAATGTCCCCCTTTGTGCTAGGGCGGGAGGGGGAGTGGCGATGCATTTAAGTCAATAGTGCCACAGCCACGCCCACCCGCAGTGCGATCATGGCAAAACATTGCCTGCATTCCGATCCACTGTAAACGAAAAATAGAGCATGCAGTTTGCAGTGGACCGGAACGCAGGAAATGTTCCCACGCGTCAGATCGCACTGCGGACAGGGTGTGTGTGCATGCAGTGCCATTGACTTCAATACACCCTCAGCCCCTCCTGCCCCAGAGCAAATGGGGAAGTTTTGAGAGTGATTGCTGTGTGCTGCAGCAGCTGCAGCTGAGGAACGCACAGCAATTGGTGTGAATGGGCCCTTAAAATGTAAATGGTTTATCGGTAAGCACATATTTTGAATTATTACTACAATGTTTAACTTTACCCTAAAGAAGTTTTTTAAATGTCGAACATTTTCACCTGCTTGTTTTTAATATTTACCTGGACAAAGAGAGAATTAATCTCCCCAGCATGGACAGCCAGTAATAAAAACATGACAGCAGTTGTACACCTTCTCTCCTTTAGGCTACAGATACATTTTAACAACAGATCTTCAACACCAGGATTGCATTATTTTACACTATTATGCTGACTTACAGACATGCATTGCAATAAGGAGAAAACACCACCAGGAAGTAGGGCCTGAGTTTGTAATTAGCAAAGTATTGGTGGCCCATAAACCTAAATTTTACAAACTATACATACAGGAATATTTATAAAGTATTGATTATGACATTAACATATTCCCTGCAAGTGAATCTTCCTGGTTCTAGTGTTTTAAATTACAGGGAATGATTAACCACCTGTGAATGTCATTCATTGTTTTATAACTATGCCCCATAGAAACCAGCTGTTTTACCTAAGAATATCAAGATAGAATGTGAGCTTAACCTTCCCACGCATTGCTTATATACCCAAACAGTCTTTACTGAGGGGTCTGCTACCAACTTGGTCTTAGGGCTCATTCACACCAACTCGCACGCTAAAACAGGTGTGGGCTGGTGTCTATTGTGCAATAGTGTAACTTTATTGAAACGTCACAATAAGACATTGACAGGACCCGTGGTGACATGAGGGGAGGTGCGAAAAAAGGCAGCATAGCAACCTACCTCAAGACAGCCTTGTATTGTTGAGGGCATATAAAAAACAACTATTGACATAAACCCACCCCAAAAGCCAAAGTGTAAGAAAAATAAAATAAATACAAAAAATAAAACCACTAGAAATCCACCAAATTATTTAAAGCCCCCACATATGCACATTAATGACATCAGTAGTGAGTAGTGAGTATTAGAACAATACGATGGCTCCCCTGAAGCCTATTCTGTAGTAGTACTATTTCTTTATAAATGCTACAAAATCAACTAAACACATTTTAGTTTACACTGGCAGTGAAAGATTTACGATGAAAATCTGTTTGGAAAGTGGTGTTTGAATAGGATGATTAGCAGGGGTTGAAAAATTTTAGGGTCACCAGTCAGTTAGCATGACCGGACTATAGCCTTGCAATTTTTGGGGGGGGTTATTTTTTTACTATATAATGAAAAAAGTACCCTAAATTTTGAATAAAAACCTGTTTCCCTATGAAACATTTATTATCATGCCAATTTTTGGGAAAATATAAAAGACGGGGTCACGTCGGGTAAATAGATACCAAACATGTCAAGCCTTAAAATTGTGCTCGCCCGCAAAAAAAGGACCACACCGAAAATTGTCCATAGGCAACGCTCTAAACGCTTTTACTGCTCATCAGTTTAGTGTTATCAGTGATTAGTGGCCTTAAAATTATTGCTCACATGATATGATATATGTCACATGATATGCAACATGTGCGGCACAAGAGTTGTTTTCGCACATAGGGGCACCTGCCGCATGCTTGCGTGCGTTTGAATTTTTGTTTTTTTGCACGTTATTGCTATTACAGAGGGGGCTAAGAAGCTGCGATAGCCAATTTACATGACAGGTCCTCTTTATGGAGACATCAGGGGTCTCCAAGACCCCTGTCCCCTAGGGACCCCCAGAGAAGCTGATGAGGCAGAGATCTGCTTCATCACCTTCTGTAGCTGGAGAGTGACAGCAGAATGTGGAAGTGATGTAATATACATCACTTCCTGCATTTGGGGACAGAGAGGAGCTCAGAGGGAGATTGTGTACCGATCTCCTGTCACAGAGCAGCCATGCCGGTCCCAGCCGCACTGGGCACAGCGGATCTCAGGACCGGCAACGGCAGTGACAGCTGCTGCCAATACATGCGATCAGGCGTCTCTAGAGATGACCGATCGCTTGAATGTACAGCTCCCGGCCGGCCGTTTATTTACAACAGCCGGCCGGGAAGCTACTTCTCCGGCTCTGGTGTCCTCTCATCACAGACGGTAGGACGAGCAGATATTTCAAGCCCTGATTAGAGAAGTATTGGGAGAGTAAAATGCACTCTTCCCAATAGTTTGAGTCAGCATGTGACACTGCAGGTGCTCACTGACTGTCGCACTCATTGATCGAGTACTGAGTGACCACAGACCGCTGATCACTTAGCTCACAGTCTCCTCTCTGGAGAGAGTGGTGACAAGTCAGTCATGACTCCCGCAGGGTCCACCCCCGGCACTGGGCAGGCAAAGCCAGCTGTCAATCAGGCAGCAGGGTGGATCCTGACAATATTGTTGGGACTCTTTTCCCAGCTGCAGCATGACTCTGTGCTGTCAGCATACAGCAGCCCATTAAATGCTGACTTTGGGTCACAGGAGGGCATTAGTAAAATGTACTCCTTTGCCCTAAAAGAGTAAAGCCAAAAAACGGTTTGGCTTTAGTTCTCTTTGAAGAGGAACTTCACTCCCCCTTTATATCATTTTCACTCAAAAAACACTCGCATGCCCAACGAATCCATTCTTGTCTTCTGCAAGGCGCCGCGCTATCACAGCACACCAGGGTCCCCACCACTATTTTCCTTCAGACATCATCAGCAGGGCTTGAAAAATCCGCTCGTTCTCTCATCTATGACGAGATGACGCCGGCGCCTGACGAGTAGCTTTAAATTCAAGCGATCGGATGTCTCTGACGTTTGTCACCGCTCCCGAGACACGACTGCTCTGTGACAGGAGATCGGTACACAATCTCCCTCTGATCTCCTCTCCAGTCCCCGAATGCAGGAAGTGATGCATATTACCTCACTGCCGCATTCTGCTGTCACTCTACAGCTTCAGAAGCTGGGGAGAAGCTGGTGAAGCAGATCTCTGCTTTATCAGCTTTTCTGAGGGGCCCTAGGTGACATTAGCAGTCTTGGAGACCCCTGATTGCTCCATAAAGAGGACCTGTCATGTAAATTGGCTATCACATAGGAAGCTTCTTAGCCCCCTATGTGATAGCAATAAAGTCGTGTAAAAAAAAAAGTAATACAAAAATTAAAAGCATAAAAAAATAAAGCATATATAAAGAAAAAAAAAAAAAACTTTTAAAAAATCCCACCCCCCACATACACACAAACATGCGTTGGGTGCACCTATGTGCAAAAACGACGATTGCGCCACACATGTTACATATCCGTGCGAGAAATAATTTTAGGGCCATTAATCACTAATAACACTAAACTGATGAGCAGCAAAAGGGTTTAAAGCGTCGCCTATGGCCAATTTTCGGTGTGGTCAATTTTTGCGATTTTGCGGGCAGGTGCAATTTTAAGGCTTGACATGTTGGTGTATTTACCCAACGTGACCTCATCTTTTATATTTTACCAAAAATATGGTTAGGAATAAAATGTTTTATAACATAGGGAAAACTAGTTTTTTCCCCTGAAATTTACGGTACTTTTTTCATTATATAGTGAAAAAAGAACCTCTCTGATTGTATAACTCCAAAAGAAAGCTCTGTGTCCCCAAAATGTTTAACAAATTGCAAGGCTATAGTCCGGTCATGCTGACAGGTGAAATACCCTAACATTTTTCATGCCCTGATCAACAGGCATCTGTCTGTCTCTTCCTGGTTCTTGCAGCTGGTCCCTGATGCACAGAGTGTGGTCGGGAAATGGCCAGCTAATGGGCACTGTCCTCCTGGTGCTCCGTGATGTCGGTATCCAAGTAGGCTTTGGGTTGGGGATGTCATTATCACCTAGCTGAGAAAGCCGGAAGTGTGAAGTCCAGATGCACAAAAGTACTTTCTTATAAGAAACCGTACTCATCAAGTGTGTGTAAAATGATGGCAAGTCATTGGAGAGGATGAAGGTCTGCTATGGTAGGGGATCCCAGTGCTATATTGAATGCCATCATACCGCTCTGTTCCTTTATTCCATCTCAGCCTGGGCCGGAATCATTTCTTCCTATTACATGTTGATGACATTCCCGAGTACTATTTAGCTGATGACATTCCTGAGTACTATCTCCCGTAGGTGCCATCAATGATTGTTATTATAACCTTATGTGGGGTAGCAGTGCCTGTTCTTATAATGTAGACCCGATGAGTAGACGGGCAGCTCCATCAGCCGAGCCATCCCCAACATCAGCACTGAAAATGGCTGTTACGGCCGCCATATCCTGGAAACAAAACAATACGACACACAGTGACGAGTGCAAGGCCAGGCAGGCGGAGGCGCTCACAGGCCGCACTAACCATGGCGAAGCCGCGGCGCCATTTTCCCCCTTCGGGAAAGGCCTCGGCTCCAGGCAAACTACCTACCGCCATCTCTTAGACGAAGACGCGTCCTCTCCGTTTATCGCCACCGAGCTGCTGTGATTGCAAACCGCCCGGCTGGCAGCAGCCACACAGAACGACGTACACGGTCCACAGAAGCGGGCGGGGCTCACAGAGCAGTCCGAGGAGGCACAAAGGAAGCAGCCGCCGCGCATAGCATGACGGGAAAACAGTGGTGACGTCGTGACGTCCATCCCGCCAAATTCGACCAGGGGAAGGGAGCGCGACTGCCTGTAGAAGTGACGCAGTGAGGAAGAGATACTGACGGATGAGGAGTGGCTGACAGCGGTGTGTATTTCTTACCGGACCTCACAAAACCTTGTGCTTTAGCTTTTTCTATAACCCTGCTCATATGGGATTCTATCTTAGCGTTTCTCAACCTCTTATTTCAGTCAGGGCACCTTTTAAAATGATGCAGAATTTGGAGACTTTAAGGGCCCATTCACATTGGAGCATTGTGCTAATTGCATGTTACTGTGTATGTCCAATTAGCGCACGCTATTGCCCAATGCACCTAGTCTGCGTTGCATTGTTATTCATTTGAATGGCACCCCAACACACTACTCAGGGCTAGTGCAGACCTGGGCGATCCGGGACAGCACGATTGTGCGCAGTTGCACACAGTGGTTGTCACGTGTCCCAATGATTTCAATGGGGTTACATCCAGGTGGCAGTCGCTGAAAAAAGGTATATGTACATTTTTTTTGCGAAGCACAGTTGTTGTTGTTTTTTTTTTTTTTGGTAGCCGCAATCGTGTTTGTTTGCACAAGCAAAATCTTGCGTGAGTGGGGTGCCATTAGAAAAGAATGGTCCAGCCAGCGCGATCACCGTATGACTCTGCGACCACATGGCAATCTGTGCGGTCACGGATCGCGCAAGTGTGAACCTGGCCTCAGCTGTGGTGCGCTGCAACATGCAGTACTCAGGGGTGTGCAATTTGTATCACCCAAAGCCCAAGAAATGAAATTCCGAACATCAGGAAGGTGGTTTTCCTCTACATTTAGCCCTGCTGCATGCAATACTTTTTCCGACTGCACCAGACCGGAACACAGGCACTGAATAAACGCACGTGTAGGGCCAGCGATGTCACCTGGTGTGCATGTCATTACATATACACGTATTGTAAAGTAGGTTGTCATGAGGGACAAGTAGATTGGGCCCCCGTATTTATAAGAAGTAGTTTTTTAAAAACATTTCCATACCCCTGAGTACTGTGATACCATGTGTTGCAGTGAGTAGAAATAGTGCATGTTCTACTTTTTTCACTGCAAAACAATACAGTGCACGGCGACCGGGAGGTTCTTTGCTTTTTTGCTATCACATAAGGGGGTTTATCAGCCCCCTCTGTGATAGCAATAAAGTTAAGTGAAAAAAAAAAAATAGTACAAAATTTTTTTAAAGTTACACAAAAAAAGAATTAAAAAATTGGAATAAATGTCAGTCAAAGTACCGCAGCGCTGAACACTGAAAAATGGCCTGGCCAGGTAGGGGATCTAAACACCTGGTCTTCAAGCGGTTAACATGCAATTAGTGCAATGCTCCAGTGTGAATGGAATCTCAAATGTAAAAAATGGTGATCTGGTATGCATTTTTAAGAAGGGGCTTTACATCTGAGCCCTCTTCAAATCAGGAGCCCCCTTTTCACATCAGAATCTTGCCTTTCACCTCAAAGTTCCTCTTTACATCAGGAGCCAGCCCCCTCAGCATCAGCATTCCTCCTTCAACTCACAAGCCCCCATTTCACATGAGGAGCCTTTTTCATATTACAAGCCCCTCCTTCACATCACACCCACCTATCCTATCAAAGTCCCTTACCCCCCCATTGACATGGAAAAAACTTTTGACACAATCTGATGGCCATATATGTTCTATACATTACGTGACGGAGAGGAAAACACAAAGAGGGGGGCACCTTTCCTGGTCCAGATACGTTTAATCCAATAGCAGGTAATTAGAAACAGGAATGTACTCACAAGAGTAGAATATACATAAGCCGTAGGACAATGAACCAGAGCAAGGCAAGTGGAAATCCGTATAACATATCCTATGTGCCGATGTGTGAGATGTCAGCGTTGACTCGTTTCCGGGGCACGCCCCCTTCATCAGATCGTTACGTGACAGAGAATTCTAGGGAAACTTTATTAACTGGATTTTAGCCATCTACACTAACTCAAGCTGCAGCGAGATTCTGCGGAATTCAATCTAACCAATTTTAGATTGGCAGGAACAATCATCAGAGATGCTTGCTGTCCATGCTTCTTTTCTTGTTAGTGCTTGAATCCCTTGATCATTATGTGTGACAACAAAAGCATATTAGGGGACTGAAAATAGAGGGATTGGACAACAAAATTATAACAAAAAGCAAGAACAAAAGACAGGGATTCACAGACCACCTCTAAACTTAAAAGAGAACTATGGGGTCAGTGTTTTTCCCCATAGTTCTCTTAAGAGTCACGGGAGGACATATACTAGCGTCCTCCCGTGACCCTAAGCTCAGTATATCGCAAGCTAATGCTTGCGGTATACTGAGACTGCTGCAGCCGGGACGGATCCCGACAATGCTGTTGAGATCCACCCAGCTGCATGAGTGACAGCTGCCTCTGCCTATCTAGAGGCAGAGCCAGCTGTACCCGCCCCCTCCCCGTCCGTTCCTCCAGTCAGCGCTGAGAGGGGGGGGATCCCTGCAGGGAGCGGTGACTGACAGTCACCGCTCTCTGCATGGAGATGATCGAGAAGTGAGCGAGCGACGGTATGTGTTTGCTCACTTCCCGATCTATTGAGCCGATGTGTGACAGTTTCATTGTCACACATTGGCTCTAACTATGAGGATGAGTGATTTTCACTCACCTCATAGTTCTCCTTAAGTCCTTTTAGTGCGAGTTTAGTATACAAAAGTGTATGAACATCCTGCTTAAAAAAACTTCCCATAGTGAAAAATGTTAAAAACAATAACAACATTGTCATAAGGCCACAGTCACTCCTTCATACATGCACACTGGATCCTATTCATATAGTGCTGTTATTACATAGAAGCAGGATATAGGAAACGTGTAAGCCAGCTGGCATATCAGTCTTGTTACTTTGTAAAGTAAGTCTGTGTCAATAATGGAGTCTCTAAGCCAGGGGTGTCATACAAAAGAAGAAAAAAAAAAGTAACCCTGCTGCGTACCGCAGTACAAAGCTCGGGTCCAATAATCATTATATTACAGTCCTGTGTGTGAGTGCACTACATGTGTCAGCACTCCCTGTCCATTTGGACCAGAATCACAGATGGCTCAGACTGTGCTCCCATGCCACACTGCACGCTCATTTCAGCAAATGGCTTCACAGCACAGGTGAAATCATAAAGTCTGGTACCTGCCAGCTAGTAGTAGGTGGGAGAGCCTTGGGGGGATCAGTCCACCACCGAAACGTTTCGTCCGTTTCAATGCGGACTTAATCAATCAATAGGACCTTTATATCACACACTTTTGTATACTGAACTCTCGTTAAACTGACTCAAGTTTAGTGGTCTATGAATCCCTTTCTTTTGTTTTTCCTTTTTGTTACAGTATGCTTTGGGTGGACCATTCAGTATGTCCATATGTAGTTATCAGTAGGTAATATTTAGGTCACGCTCACTTGCACTCTGTATATGTTTAGTAGGGATGCACCGATACCAAGTACAGTACTCGGAAATTTAAGAAACGAAACCGAAATAGAAAAAATTGTCAGGCCGAAACCGATACCGAAAATGTTTTTATTTTAATTTTTTGAAAACATTTTTAAATATTTTATTTTTGTTTATTTTTTAGAAACTTTTAAATCTTTTTATTTTTATTTATTCATTTTTTTTATTAAATATTTAAATTTTTTACTTTACTTTTAGGGGCTTCGGGGGAAATATTAGGGGTCTAAACAGACCACTGATATTTCCCTTTTAAAATAGAAAAAGAGATTGAGAGTCCTCAATCTCTTTGTCTGTATCCCCTGTTATCAATGAACATGAATCCTCTATGAGTGTTCCTGTTCATTGATAACTTGAGAATATTGTACGATTACTATAACCACAATTATGAATGAACAGGAGGTGATGTAGCTCACTCCCATTCATTCATAATTGAGGATGTATTAACCATACAATATCATCAATTATGTAAAAACTCTCAGCGATCACTGATTGCTGAGTGTATGTAGCCTGCTCTCCTCTCTGTCACAGGAGGCTGAGTGAAAGGTGCAAGACAGTGCTGTCTCTGCCGCACCGTGATAGGCGGCCGAGCGGTGTGGGAGGAGAGCCACCGGCCGCTCACAGCGCTCTCCTCACGCAGCGCTCGGTCGGCTGTCCTTGTACTTGTCCAAGTACTGATACATTTTTGTTTATTGTCATGTGACAGTTTTTCTAAAGCAATAGCGACTAATGATTTCAGGACAGCGCCAGTGTCAGGTCCCAGCTGCAACCCCTGCAACCCTGGTAGTTCTCATGAAAATGCCAAGTATCGGCATTGGTACTCGAAAAGTATCGGTGCATCCCTAGTTTTTAGTAGACCGCAAAATGACCCATTTGCCGATATTTATTAACACATCGCTGCATATCAAAATCTATAGCCTTGAAGATATCCCTGAGACTGGAAATCCTCCTAATGGTACAAAAGCACTTTATCTATAGATGGACCCATCAACTTCCCTACCTTTGAATCTATTTTACCTCCTATGATATGCTATATAGGCCAGATGTCTCGCCATTCACATGCAAACTTTGTATACTTGGAGAGACTGACTAAATGCCATAAAAATGGCATACTTCAATAAACGGTTTTATTCTTTTATAGTGTAGCCAATAGTGCTCCAAAACTTAATTTTTTGCTCTCTCCAAAGCAAAATAATGCACTTTATATGATGCCCCCCGCAACCTGGTGTCAACAGGACCCTGTTACATATTGAGGCGGTCTATAGATTCCTGTGCTAGCAAACTATTACAAAGCTGCCCATGTAGCCCCTCTCACTCTCCTGCAGGACTCTCATGATGTGCTCCTCCAAAACTCTTCCTACATGATACCCTAGGAAAAGAGACTGGGGGAAATAATAGATGAAGCAAGCTGGGAGGAGATCTGGACCTCTACAGCTAAGAGTTGTACCAACATATTAGCCCTGGAGAACTCCAAACATTATTTTCCTATAGTACCTCACACCATCATGAATAGCTAAATATATTGCTGATTACTCATCAAACTGCTTCACACAATGCCGATAAGAAGGCACAATTCTGCATATCTGGTGGCTCTGCCCTAAAACACAACAGTCATTGATCAGGGTCTATAACTTCTTAATAAGTTTTGGTATACCAACCGCCCCGTGTCAATTTTTTTTCTTCAATCCCCCTTTTAATGTTTTCTCTAGGGTATCGTCAATAAACATCCTCTCACCCAGTGAATCCAGCCATGTTCTGTTGTAATCCACTACAACCTCTGTTGAACATCTGGTCCTACACCACCATCTTACATTCTTATGTCGTGAGAGGCCAGGTGTCTCTTCCTGGTTCTTGCAGCTGCACTCCTACCCCATTGGTGTGCCCTTTGTTCTCACAATACTTGTCCTTTAACTTTACAAGATATCCCCAAATATGCTTGTAGACTGATCAGTTTTATAGTCCATAATAAAAAAAAAAAGAAAACGATTGCTCACACATGCAAACTCCCCCCCAGATTATACTTTCTGGAAGTTAGACAGGCTAAATGACATCATGATAAATGAAAGTTGACATCTATAACTATGAAACACATAAAAAAAAGATTATAAAAAAATCGTCTCCATTGGTTGATTATACCAAACCTACTGTATTATCCCTGCACATTTAAATAATAAGTGCACCATTCTTTCATCCCCCACCCTCCCCCTCCAAGATTTATACTTTCTGAGATCCAGTGCCCGTGACCTCCTAGGATTGTTTACAAGCTCTGCCAAACTCCTCTCACTGTCTGCAAAGTAGGGTCCTATACACATCTATGGGGATTGACTACCTCCCGGCCGGGTGACCTAGAGAGAAAAACCCTATAGACTGCTGTGGTGCTCTAGTGTGCTTTCTGGCCAATTAGAAAGCTTGGCGCCGTATAATGACTCGCTGCCCGGCTTCCTGATTGGTCGGGAAGCTGGCTTCATGCTCCGTCATCACCTCATGATGAGGGAGCATAGAGCTGGCTTCCTGGCCAATCAGGAAGCCGGGCGCCGCGTCATTACACAGCATTGATTCGCCAGAAAGCTGGCTCCATGCTTTCTCGTCACCAAGTGACGAGAAGCATGGAGACAGCTTCCGTGCTTATTGGGGAGCCGAGTGGCGAGTCTTTACACGCTGCCCGGCTAATCAGGAAGCCAGGTGGCGAGTCATTACACGCCTCCTGACTTCCTTAATGGGACTTCCGGTATTCGGTATCGGCGAGTACCGCAAAAAAAAATATCAGTACTAAAAACTGGTATCGGTGCATCCCTATTTGTCAGCATAAACCGCAGTCCCCTTACTGGAATTTGAATCAGCTGCAGTTTAATAATATGGATTTGTCATGAAATGGTAAAAGAAGATAACTGTCAGTTTTCTTTATATGTATTTAAAAAAGCTAAGTAGTTCTGTATTTGTGGTAGTTAAAATGTCTGATGGCAAGTTCTTACTAATCCTTAGGGGCCATATGGACACAGTTGCTGGCGACGTACACTGTACGTCGTCAGTCACGAAGGGGTTAACCTATGGGTTATATTGCTGCCTACGGGAAACGTGGACACTGGCAAACAAAACAAACTGTTGTCCAGCCTAGGGTATTATTCCTCCTAGTGCCACTATGCTGCAGTTTCGCTAGTATCCTTGGAGAATGGATTTTTTTTTTCATTTATGCTTTTGTTAAAGATTTAAACTTTTTTGTTTTTTTGCTAGCACTTCTTCTTTACTCTTTAATTTTTCCTTCACTCAAGACTCCATGGATTCAATAGCTGTTGTTCATAAAGAACTGGCCGAAATTTGCATAGTGTATGGCCAGCTTTTGTTTTGTAAGGCTGCCACCTGGTTGTGTTTTTACATGTTCCAAAAGTTTTACCAGGTGGACATTTGGCCTCATCTGATACCAGCTTCAGTGGTAAGGCCCTTTTAGGTGGCTCTTTTAGCTGCAGACAGTCCAGATTTCTTTCTTGTTTTTCTTGGAAATTAACATTGGCTGTGTTGCCACCCATCAGTTGGACTCCTTTTAGACGTCCTGATGGTTAAAAACATCTTCTTTCCCTCAGTGGAAAAGAAGGAAGATAGGCTTTTTGTACTCGCTCTGAATTTTTTTTTTTGTGTCCAATAAGGCACACTGGTCCCACCCTTCTGTTTATGATTTTGCTCTCGGTATTGCTTTGCTACAAAACTGAGGCATGTGTTTAATCCTTCTGTGGGTGGCAGTATAACTCACGGGTTAAAGACTTCCTGTGTCTCTCAATGGACTTCAAAAAAATGATTTTACGGTGAGTAAAAAATTATTATGTCTACTGACATCTATTTTGTTTAATTTATCATTTGTCTCATCAATTTTAACTTTGCAGATAAACCAACCATCAATATGTGGAATGATATTGATATTTTAGCAAATGATGACACTGGGAGCTGCCGTTTGAACATAGATTCACGGCAGGAAAGCGGCACGGCTTTATATCAAGTGGACACACTACTTAAAATTTCATCAACTGAAAAGGTAAGGGGCACATAAAAAAATTGTAAACACATTCTTTCACCCTTATTTATTGTAATAGATGCACTCTGATAAGCAACTGTGGGCATAAAAAGATTACTAAATCTCTATTGCCTTTGTTTGAAATATATACACTGATCAGTCATAACACTAGGACCATAAGGGGGTGAAGTGAACAACATTATCTTGTTATAATGGCACCTGAAATTGGGTGGGTTATATTAGGCAGCAAGTGAACATTTTGTCCCTGAAGTTGCTGTGTTGGAAGCAAATAAAGTGATCAAGTGTAAGGTTTTGAGTGACTTTGACAAGGGCAAAATTGTGATGGCAGAGCAACTTCTAAACTGCAGCTCTTGTGGGATGGGATGTTCCCTGTCTACAATGGTCAGGGCTAGAGATAAAAAAATAGTTTTTTTTCCCGGGAAAAAAAATTGAAATTTCGGAAAAATTGAAAAGAAATTCAGTTTGTAGTATTTTTACAAATTGAAAGTCATTTTGTTACACCAGAAATGTGAAATGCAGTGTATATAAAAGTATTATGCTCGAAATAAAAGTACAGCTCATTCGGTAAATAAACTAAACTTGCTTTTTAACATTTTATTTTTTATAACAAATTGAATAACAAGGACTGCATATGTTCATAACATTTCAACTATACATGAGAACAGGTAACCAGCCCCTTTCCCTCCAAAAGCAACGAAACAAGCAAGAGTATATTTGCAAATGGCAGCTTTGCTCTCAGCAGAGGTCGAGTAGAGTACCTGCCTCAATGGGTCAGAGTTCTTTTGGTGGCATAAGGGGCACCTACTCAATATTAGACAGTTGGTCATAATGTTATGGCTGATTGGTGTATACTGTGTGTGTATGCATGTATTGTGTGTGTGTGTGTGTGTGTGTGTGTGTGTATATATATCGGAGCCAGGGAGCGAGTATCAGCAAAACAGCAGAATTCGTTAAATGTTCAAGAGCAGCTGTTATTAAAGTGTTTAACCTCTTCATGAATGAGGCCTTTTTTTTTATTTTTTGCACCCATGTTATATTCCACATTTTAGGCCTGAAAATTACTTAAAACCCCCAAACATTATATATATTTTCTGAATGCCAAGACCCTATAGAATAAAATGGTGGTAGTTGCAAATTTTTATGTTGCGTAATATAAGCGCAACTCCTTATTAAACCCCAAAATTTAGTGACAAATTTAATTAAATGCCTCAAAACACAACAAAATACCAATTTTTGAATGAAATATAAAAGATGAGGTTACAACGAGTAAAACGATACCCAACATGCCCAGTTTACAAATTGCGTGCGTCCGTGAGATGGCGAAAAACTGCAGTACCCCAAAAAGTCCATAGAAGACACTTTTAAAAGCCCCCCCAGGTCATCAATTTAGAGATACCCCAAAATACTGGCCCTAGAATTATTGCTCTCACTCCGGCGTGCACGGCGATACCCAACATGTGTAGCGCGTTCGTCATTTTCATACGTAGGCGCACCTGACGCGTATTTACATGGGGACGCGCGTGCTTGCGGGGGCCTTTAAAAAAAAAGAGTTAAAGACTGGACTGTCAGCCGAAAATCTGGGTCTAAAAGTGCGAATTGTGGCCGTCAGCGACTAGTCAATGTTAGGGCAGAACGGAGAGTAGCAAGACCTGGTACAAGACAACAGAAGGGCAACAGTGCAGTGTCAGAATCCTCGCATCACCTTTCAACATCTCGTGGAGTCACGAGGCGGCCCAACGAAGTCATCTCGTGGATTTATCTCGTGGCCCAACGAATTACTGATGGGGTGGTCATAATAATCTGGCCACTCAGTGTAGTTCTCTGTTTGTGAACACAACATCACTTTTAAGCTATTGCATTAAATAGGACATTCCCACCATACCACAGTCGTGCCAGCATAGCGGCGACACCAAGGGGTAGATACGATCCAAACTGTGGGGGACGCGGTAACATCGGGTGAGTATTTTATAATTAGTTTCCAGAACCTTGGAGTCCTTGGAAGAGGAATGAGTATATTTGGGGATATTGGCTGACTCTGCCTCTGTAAACCGCACCCCCCAGTCCCTCTCCCATTCTCTAAGGAAACAAAGGGATCCTTGAGAACCCGAGTGTAAGAGGAACATATACATCAAGGAGAGGGGTCTGAAGGGTGGCCCAGAGGCAGCACATAGTCTTTCAGAGTATGGGAGCTAGAGGGCCTCACCGAGTTGGCCAAGGAGTGGAAGAAATTATTATTACAGATATTTATATAGCAGCACTTTACAAAGTTGCACATTCACATCAGTCCCTACCCTCGAAGAGCTTACAATCTAAGGTCCCTATCTCACATGCATACATAGAGGGCCAATTTAGGGAGGAGTGTGGGAGGAAACCGGAGTACCCGGAGGAAACCCACTCAAGCACAGAAAGAACATGCAAACTCCTCGCAGATAGTGACCTGGCCAGGATTCGAACCAGTGACCCCCACATGCAAGGCAGAAGCGCTAACCACTACGCCATTGAAATGCAGTAGGTGTGCCTCCAAAAATCAAAAGGAAACGATCCCCGTTTTTTACACATTTACGTCAGCAACATCAACGTAGTCCCTGGGCCAAGGGACATATGTCCGGGGCTAACTGGCCGTGCCTATTCATGGCATCCCAGAGGCGGAGGATATTAGTGGTAAGTGGGGAAATGGTGGGAGCAAAACCTCGGAAATCTGGTCTCAACAATGGAGCTTGTGCCCGGTTCCTCCCGGCCATATACTTCTCCAGAGCGCCTCACAACTTATCTTCCACTTGGAAGTGCCAAACCAAGACCCGCTGGAGAGCAACAGCTTTATAGTACAGTTGCAGGTCAGGGAGACCTAATCCTCCCCACAGCTTTGCACATCTCAGAATGGCAAATGCAAGTCTAGGCCTCCTATTTCGCCAGACAAAGCCTATAAATAGACTTTGTAGCCTACAGAAAAACAGTGGAGGAACAGCAGCATCTGGGAGCATATGGAGAAGAAATACTATCTTAGGTAGGATCGACATCTTTAAAATATTCACCCGGCCTATCCAGGTAAAGGTATCTCTGTCCCAGCAGGGTGGGGGGTGTATGTGACAATCTGGCTGCTTACAAGTGATCTTGGGTGTACAGCCACTCAAGATCACTGGTACAATACTGCTTCCCTGCACAGCATTTAGCCCTGCTTTCCTGAGGCCCCTGATTAATAATATTGTGCCCTTTTATTGACCTTCATGAGGAATGATGGTGTAAAAGAATAGTGAAAAGGCATGGTGCAGGAAAGAAGGCATGACTATACTTTAAAACATCCATATTATGAACTGGTGTCATTGTCAGCTTGATAATGGTGCCTTTTTTTGTTCAGTATGATCTTTTATACAGTATTTTTGATCAGATATTGCAAAAGCCTGCATGGTGTCGTTTTCTACACTTTTATCATTTATATTCATATCCTTTGTTTAAATGAAATGATGTTTTGTTTCCCCCCTTCCCAAGGTGACTGTCAATCCAAAACTATTCGCCTGCAGTTCAAATGAAGGATGTGTAATTGTTGCTGACAAATCTGTATGCCTCCTTGATAGCATTTGTCAGTCTCTGCAACTCCAGCTACAGTTTGGTAAGTTCCAAGGCTCATGAAAAACCAGTTAGATGCTTTATGTAACCCAAACCAAATAAATATGTGCAAATTTTAAAAGAACTCAGGAAAAGTGGTGCCCATTAGCTCCTGAAGTTCAGTTGGTACTGGCTTAAACAATGGATTGCTGTTTCGAAACGTAATTATGAAAACGCCACCAATTCATGCGCTAAAGCATATAAAACATTTGCAGACAGACACGGTGAGAGAAAAAAAATCCAACTGAGCAAACACTTTCCTTGGGGGTTATAAATGCATATCCCTTTGCTTTGTTTTACATTAAAGCAAAATAACCGGTCATAAGTTTAAAATCTATTACAATGTAATCCTTTATAACAAACAGCATCAATCCTAAATATGCAGTATATTCAATATTTAAATGTTTTACTAGTATGTCCACCACTCTGAATAATTTAAACCTTTTTCTATACTAATGAGAACCACACTTTTAAAGCTCAAGCTAAGTGTTCTGGAGAAATTTCCAAACCAACTTTTTGCAGTGAGGCTTCCCCGCACTCCAAGGGTTCAATTTTTTCTTTTTTTTTCTTTAGGGTACCATTTAAAGAGCAGTTTTCTTTCTTTATCCCTTGCTTCTCTGGCTGTCAGCTCTCTCCTATCTGATGCTCTGGGTTGTGTGCAGGCCCTCGGAGTCCTCCAATTAGAATGAAGGACTGCTGGTCCTGCATTGTACACGATTGAAAAAAAGAGGGCCTGCGACCGACTGATTGCTGAGAAGTTGATGACTGATTGCATGGGGATGAGCTGCAGGTGCAAAGGATAAGGTAAATTAACCTTCTTTCGGGTTCCAGTTGGTGTCTGGAGAATTTTTATTCTTGCACACACATGCTAAAATCTGAATTTGTCTATCGTCCGATGAGGAACTGGGGCGGGCGTGAGCGGCGAGCTGGAAATTTTAGCCAATGAATTGACGATGGATAACGTTGACAACGTTTTCCATCGTCGATTTTAATCGCCTTAATCGAATAATTGTTGCAGCTCTACATCTATCAGTAAATATTGCTTTATCAATTGCACATATAGTATATCCCTGTTTGTTCCCGTTATGCTCAATTCAGTCCATCAATATACTTGTGAGGTCATAGAAAAAAGAAAATGGAAGCAAAATTTCAGTTTCAAACAGATTCTTTTTTTCATGTTCAAAAAGAGCAAATAGGGGCTCCCAAAATGTTCCCATTTTATTTTTAAGGTGTTATTTTCACTTTTGAATTTTTGAATTTTCAGATACAGAAGTAGATGTTGTGGGCATTTGCCATGAAGGACGGTTTCTGTTGGTTGGAGAGAGAAATGGCAATGTTCACCTTATTCACGTGCTATCTAGACAGATCTTGATTACAAAGGTAAATTTGTTCATTCTAAATTTTATTTGCGGGGGTTTTGGCAAGATTTTTAACAGTAAAGTAAAAGTAACTTGTTAAACATTTTGAAAAACATGTCTTAATGTTGAATTGTATCGTTTTTGGTAAATGGCATTACAGTCCCTTTTTTTCTTTTCTTTTCTTAATTGTATGTACACTTCTGTTGGTAGGGTAAACAGAACTGTGCATATGGTTCAGAGCTGTCAATGTAAAGACATCTGTGCTCAATTTACTCTAAATTACTGGTCGTTTCTAATCACAGTTGCTCGTTGTTGTTTAACACACTGACAGGATTCTGCTACCTTTTATCAGACACTTTGGAAAGTTTTTTTTTTTTTTTCTATAGTCAATTACTCTGATTTTCACAAGTGGTTGATTAGAAGATTGAATAATAATATTCATTCACAGAAATATTGTTTCACTGTCACATTTGTTTTCTTTTGTATATATTAGTTTGTTTTTTGGGTGATAGCGCCACTTCGTGTGTTTGAAAGTATATATGTTTAAAACTAGCTAAAAGAGAAAGGTGCACATAGGTAGGATCGTATACGAAACAATACAAAAGACGTTCCAGCACACTTTAAGCTACCCAACAACTTCAACAGGCTAATATGTTTAGACTTCAACTGTGGTTATTTTTTAGTATTGGATAGTTGAGATTGATTAGAGCACCTGTCAGGTTTTTACTGCTGTCCCCAATAGGGCGATTCACACTCTGGTTTGTCCTGTTGACTGTTCTCAAATCCTAAAGTTTGAGATGTCATCAGAACATGAAAAGATGGGAAAACATCCAGTAGGGACACTAGTTTTGGTGACCCTACTAAGCACCAAGGATTTCTCTGGTAAAGGGAAATGTTCCCAATGAGACAAAGATGGCAAAAATCTGACGTGTTTATAACCCCCTTACTCTATGTAAAACAAAACAAAAAAAAGTTTTGGCTTCACTTCTACTTTCTAAGATTAAACACCAGAGGTTTACGTTGCATACATCTGTAGATATGTGGGGAAGCCACACTGCTGCGTCAAGCCACCTCTAATAGGTGCCTTCCCTAGATCTACACTATCTGATTTTCCCATCCATTGGGCATATATATTAGTGCTGTGGGGGTTGAGAACTGCATGGAACAGAACAAAGCTTCATAGGTGGTAGCTCCCAACTTTTTGGATCCGTGTCAGAGATTTTAGAGAGATTTATTTAGGTCTGGATTAAGTGCTGATTTTTGCTGGTTGAGAGTAAGTTTTTTAGGAATCTGTGATGTTTGGGGACGTGTTCTTGTACAGAAACATATGTATTTTTGCCACTGAAAACACCCTTCCCAAATTTACTGTGCAAGGCTTTAGATGGCAGCAGCTTTGAAAAAGTATACATTGCACATGCTCTTCTACTGATTTGATGTATGCAGTTATATATATGTTACTGATATAGAGGCAGTTTTACTTTTTTCCCTGGAAATGTTGAAAATACAGTTTTTAGAATTATGGTAATCATTTTGTTCATAATTTTTTTTCTGTCTTTGTTTAGGCTATGGTTCGAAGTTGTGAAAAAGATGGACAAACATTTAAAAAATTACTTATAGAAAAAGACACTTCAGATGAAGGTTGCTGTGTTTAGCTTACTGTAGTAGAATATTTGCTACAAATAATGTTCTTGCTATACAAATTACAAATCATGTTCTTTCATCATCGTCATAAGCATCATCATCATCATGATTTTTCTCTGTTTAGCTTAAAAGGCACACACTTTTAACTACTTTGAGATTATAGCAATTTTTTCATTTTTTGCACACATCTAAAATCTGAATTTTTGGCAAAAAATTAGTTGTAACCTCTTCTTCTTGCATTTTTTTTTTTTTTAATGTTTCAGGATATTTGTGCACATTTATTATCAAATCGATATTTTTAGGGTAAAGTGCACTAAAATCAATTTTAGTGCATACAAAGTAATATCCAAGTTTTTGGTAAGATGTGGTAGTGTAAAGTAAATGGATAACATGTCAAGCCTTAAAATTGCGTCTGCCTGTGAAATAGTGAAAAGCTATGGTATGCAAAGTTTTCCATAGGCAATGATTAAAAAGCCTTTTCCCCCTCATAAATTTCGAGTTAAATGCAAATGTTGGCCCTGACAGTGATACCTAACTTGCTGTGTGTGCCCTTTGTGCTTTTGCATTCGCATGTGCAAGGCAGGGCTGGGGGTTTCCTTTTTTTAAATTTTATAATGCCTTGCTTTTTTACCACTTCTTTTTTTTTTTTCCCATTTAACTTTTATTGCTAACAAGCCTCCATGTGATAACATTGGCAGGTGACGTGTACTTTTTATGGAGACAATATGGGTCTATTAGTCCCCTAATGTCTCTTGTGCCTTCCACTCCAGACAATCAAGCACAGGCTGTGAACATATCTGTTTGGGTTCGGTGATCACAGAGCACATCAGCTAAGAGAAATTGCTGTATCTGTTCCTGCTTGCTATCCTGAAGTTGTGGTCTTGGGCTTCCTGGAAGAGCCTGGAAACCGAGGCGCATAGTGCAGTAGTGGAGAGGGAGGAGGTGGCATTACTGTCTGAAGCACAGATGATCAGGTGGCAATCTACAGCCTCCCAGTTCACTTCTAATTAAAAGCCACCAGCCTGCTGTTAAAAATAATACCAAGAACATGGCTGCAGATGCAGCCATGTTCTTGTTGTAACCACTTAAGGTCAACGTACAGATACATATTGTGGTTTAAATGGCAGCAGATGGATAGTTGTTTAAGGGCACACCTAGATTGCAGGGCCTTCTATTAGCCAAATAGATCCTAGACCTTGCATGATCACGCTTTATCCTTTACATTTCCCCTTGTCTCTCTATCAACCAGTGAGGCTGCCCATCACATTTCATAGCTAATCAGGGGTTGGAAAGGGGCAGAGGGGCACAGTGTGATCATGAGTTGTCTGGTGGATATTTTCATTATAGAGTACCCTGAATTTTAAGGTAAGGGTAATAATACACTTCTCACTCACACAAAATTAACAATTTAGGCACTTCTCCTGAAAATTATAAATACCATATACAGGATTGTGTGTTCAACATGCATGGCATTGTATTATCTTCTAAGTAGTAGACATATGTTGTTTTTTTATTTTTTTTTATGGTCCCTTAAATACATGAACAATCTGCACAAACTAACAAATAACCCATCTAAATGATTTTTGTTTGATTAAGCTCATTTCATGTTATTGCTCTTTTTTTTTTTTTTTTTTTTTTTTTTAAAACCCTTTAACATTTTTCAATT